TGCCACAGCACCCCATGGTCCATACACTCACCGTCGCTGCCTTGCCACGTCAGCAGGTAGCCCCCGGCACCTGGGAGCCCTCGCCAGGTGACCCGCAGCTGGCTGGGACCGGCCTCCATCACCCGCAGATCCGAAATGCTGCCCACCTCCGGATACTCTGCATCACCCCACAGCACCACAGCATCACCTTGGGGAGTCCAAAGGGACCCCACGGCCAAGCTGCCATCCCAGGGGGTTGCAGGGGACAGACACAGCTGCATGCCAGAGTGGGAGCACCAAATACCAGACCTCCTGGCACCAAACCCTGGCGTGGACTTACTGAGGCGGACAGTAAGCGTGGCAGCACTGCCCTCCCGGCTGCCCGCCAGCGCCGAGACACGCACCAGGTAAGTGATGCCCTCCCGCAGGTCACCAAGCTCCAGCCCCGTCTGGCTGCCTGGGATGCGCCTCGTCCTCTCCGTGCCATCTGCCAGGAGCAGGGCAGTGCAGTGGCTCGGTGCCAGCTGCTCAGGACGCCCCAGGTGCCCCCCGTGGCCCTGCCCACAGACTCACCCTGGTTGTTGCGCACCACCACTTTGTACTCGGTGGCACCGGGGACCCCGGTCCAGCTCAGCCGCACCCACCTGCCCGATTCCTCAACGAGCCGCAGGTCTGACACTGCACCCACGGGTGCCTCCACGCCTGGGAGGGGACATGTGAGCACAGCTGGAGTGGCACAGCCTGGGCAGCACAACCCCCATACTCACCCTGGGCTGTGACCAGACACTTGGGGGGGTCTCATGGCCAAGGCAGTCCTCAGGCTGAGCAATACCCATTGGGACATCCCTCCGTGCCAAAGGCTTGGAATGCTGGGGGACAACTCAGGGGACCCACAGCAGCACTGACCTGTCTGAAAGGTGGTGACAGGGGTGGCCACCTCCCCGCCATCATAGAGCGTGTAGAGGGTGATGCGGTACTCAGTGCCCGGCTTCAGCCCCGTCAGCTGGTAAGTATTGGTGCTGCTGGGGAGAGACACTGTTCTGGGGGGCTCTGGTCCTGCAGGAAGGGAAGGATCACAGCCAGCTGCTGGCATGGAGGGCCCACAGGGGCAACAGGCACCCCGAGCTTACCTGTGGCTCTCTTCCATTCCAGACGGTAGCCACGAGCATCACGGGCACTGGTCCAGAGCACTTGGATGGATGTGGGGCCCAGGATGTTGGTCTGCAGCGTCTGGTCTGTGCCTGCCTCTGCAAGAGGGACCCCATGGGCCGGGGTACTTGTGCCACCCTGCTGCCAGCCACCCAGCCCACGCCTCTGGTCCCCACACGTGGCAAGGACAGGGGCTATGAGGGCTGGTCCCTGCCCCCTCCCATGCCCAGCAGCAGGTGGCATCACCTGTACCCAACCCCTACCTGTCCTCTGCCGCACAGTGGCTGCGGGCCCCTCCAGCTGCCCGAAGAGTGGGGCCACTGTCACCACGTAGTCGGTGTTGGGCTGCAGCCCCACCAATGCATGTGACACCTGCCCGGCATCCAGGTCCACCCTGCGCCTGTCCTGCCCTGTGGGAGCCAGTGCAGCAGTGCCTCGGGGAGGTCAGGCAGCAGGTGCCACCTGTCCTTCCCCACAGGGGCCACCAGCAGAAGGGGCACAAGCTGTGGGAGAGGCCCCTACCAGTGCGGGTTGCCCAGGAGAGCCGGTAGCCGGTGGCACCCCTGGCAGGCTGCCAGGCCAGCAGCATGCTCTGTGCCGACACGTTGTGGACAGCCAAGTGCTGCACGCCCACCAGGTGCCCTGTGGAAGTGAGGTGATGTCCGTCTCCCACCTGAGAATGGGGCAGGGGGCAGCGGGAAGCACCTTCACCTGCCAACTGCTGTCTCCGGGGAGCCCCCTCGCCCCTGCTCACGGATGCTAACCACACTGAGGCCACTGAGTGCAGCCTGCTCTCAGCGGCTCCTTCAAAGCAAACTGTGCAAAATGGAGCTCAAATGTCTTCCTCTTAATGCCTTAAATACCTTCTGTGGGTTAAGACTGCCTGGGGCGGCTGAAGGAATTGGTTTGCCAAAATCTGATGCTTGCAAAGGTGCTGCCCTGGGGCCTCACCCCCACTCCTACCCGGAGATGCTTTCCAACAGCCTCTGCCCTGGTGGAAACCACACTTTCCTCCCACAGGGCACTGTACTCAAACCCTGCATTTTTTCAGTTAACATTTTTTACATCATGGGAGGAAAGCTCTGATGGAAACACTCCCAGAAGGCTGCAAAGGAAATTGGGAGCACACAGTGCTGCATCCTGCCCTGGGAGCAACTTTTGGGGCCCGGAGCATTGCCTTGTAGCCATGCTCACCTGCATCCCCATCCCACCCCCACAGGCAGCACCAGGCCAGGCTGCCCCATCCCAGTGGGGCACAGTGACTGGAGCAGGGCATCCCTGTGCTAGGAACCCATTCCTAACCCTGGCTGGGCCCAGGGCTGGGCACAGCACTCACGTGTCCGGGCGGTGAGGGTGGCAGGGACAGCGGGCTGCTGTGCATAGTGGGGCTGGAGCACCACCAGGTACTCAGTGTTGGGCTGCAGGTTGCTGAGCGTGGCTGACTGTGCGCTGCCCGCCAGGCTCTTCTCCTCTCTTTGGGCTGCTCCTGGAGGGGTGTGGGGGACACAGGGACATAGCACACAGCAGGCCCAGCAGGGAAGGGGTGTCTGTGGGCCTGCACCCTGCCCTGAGGATGCCAGTCAGTGCCAGGGGTGGGGAGCACCGGGAAGAGACTGGGACGTGGGCCAGGGCAGGGGCACCCCCTGGAGCGCCCGAGGCCAGGGTGGGGCTGCCAGGTGTGTGGCTCCAGCCCCGTCCCTGGCTGGGATGGGGGTCTGGGGCCTGCCCCCCATGTGCAGCAGCCACGGGGGCACACGCCAGGCCCCAGCCATTGTGCACGCCCTAACACACACCCTGAACCTTGCGCATGAAGCCTCGGGGTGCAGGAATACACAGGCTGCCTGCACACCTCGGCACACACGCGCCCCACGCCCAGCGCACGCGTGCCGGCTGCCGTGGTGAGGGTGGGTGGATACACACCCACAGCACTCCGGGCATGCATCATGCATGTCATCCGTGCCCCCCTCTGCCCGGGGGGCTGCACAAAGGCAGGGTGCCCAGGCAGCACCGGCCCCCACCTTGTGCAGCATAGCTGAGGCTGTAGCCCTGGGGGGGCTCGGGGCCAGGCTGCCAGGCCAGCCGCAGAAAGGTTGGTCCAGTCTCCACCATGCGAAAATCCAGCATGGGGCCAGCACGGCTTTCTGGAGGCACACAGAAGCAGGGATGAGTGCCCAGCCCCAGTGCCTGCACTCACCCCTCCCTACGGACACGGGCACTCACGGGTTCGTGCTCGGGCAGACACCGACTCGCCGATGCTGTTGGCGTACTGGGCGGTGACAGTGACCAGGTACTCTGTCCCAACACGCAGTCCCCGCAGCACGGTGTTTGTCTCCCGTGGCCCCACGCTCACCTGGGCAGGAACAGTGTCACCCCCTCATCTTCCCCAGGTCACACGTGGAGCCACCAGGAACCCCCAGGAGCTCTGAGCACTCAGGTGGGGGCACTCACCTCCTGCCTCTCGGCCATGATGGGCTGCCCTAGCCCTGTCAGAGGCACGTACTGCACCCGGTAGCCAGTGATGGGGCCGCTGGCTGCTCTCCAGCGGACCTGCAGGCTGTCACGGCCCTGCTCCGGGACCTCCAGGTTGGAGGGGCCAGCATGGCTTGGCCCATCTGTAGGGTAGCACAGGGGCTGTTGGCTCCGCAGTGCACGGAGCAGAGAGGAGATCTCGCTGTGGCAGCACAGATGTGTGCCCAATGGGATGGGATGGCCAGGAGGTCGTTTTGGGGGTGGGATGGGTGCTAAGGGTGCACAGTCTGGCACCCAGCACTGTCAGCACCTGTGCCCCTCAGGGAGGAGGGTGGGGCCCATACCCAGCAGGCGCAGGGTGCCCCCAACAGTCGTGCACACCCTTCGTGTTATCAGTGGCACCAGCGTGTCCAGCAGCTTGAAATCGCCGACGTAGAAGAAGAAGGCCTCAGTAGGCATTGAGGCCACACGGATCAGCTCCTTGCGGTCAGCATTCTTAATTCCTGGGACAGAGGGAGATGGTGGGTGAGGGAGGAACCTGAACCAAGCAGAAGACTCTTCCACATGGTGCAGAAGCCTCACTCACCCACAGCGAAGACCTTGATACCCTGGCTCTTCAGCTTCGCTGCCGGTCCCTCAGCATCGTCCTGGGACTTGCCATCCGTGATGAGAATGCAGATCTGCAGGGCCAGGAAAGAACTGTGGGATGCAGCATGGGGTCCATGGGCCTGACACTCCTCCCCGTGCTGCCAGGAGCACTGCTCTGCACATACCTGGGGGACCCCAGGCCGGCGCTGCGCGGGGCCAAAGAAGTTGTCAGCAATGTAGCGGAGGCCAGCGCCTGTCCGTGTGTTGCCACCCTTGTAGCTCAGCTGCTGGATGGCCCTCCGGACACTTGTGCCATCAGGGTGCTGGGAGAATGAGAACTCCACCCTAGGGAGTGCAAGGGGGACACTGTCACTTCCCAGCCCTGGCACCCTGCACCCTGCGTGCCCCCTCCCTTGGGCTCACCGTGGGTCATCACTGTACTGTGCCATGGCAAAGCGCACTGCCTTCTCACCCACCACCTGCACAAAGGGCCCCACCAGCTCCTCCATGAAGGTGCGGACAGCACGGAAGTTGTTCCTCCCGATGCTGGATGAGCCATCCACCAGGAAGGCGATGTCAGCCTCCAGCACATCCTCACACACTGCTGCGGAACAGTGGCAGCACTCAGGGCACAGACTGGCACTGTGGCACATTGGTGCTGAAGCCCTCTTATTGTCCCACCCACCGTGTGGACCCAGGGCTCAGCACCTACCTTGGCTCCTCTTCTGTGCCATGGCAGCTGGAGGACGCAGGAGCGCCGGGAGCACAGCCAGGAGCAGGAGTTGGCCACTCATCGTGGGAGCCTGCAGGATAGGATGCTGCCACCACGGTGTCACACCAGCCCCAAGCCTTGGGGACAGCAGCTGGGGAGGTTCCCAGCCCCACCCGTGCCAGAACGCCTGGCAGCGCTGGAGGGCAGGGTGCCAGTGCCGCCCCAGGCACCCCACGGCGCAGGGAGCCCCGTTCGGGCCGGGCCGGGCGGGCGGGAGCTGGCCCGGGAGCAGCCGCTGGGGCTGTCCGCGGTGCGGGGACACCGAGAGCGCCCGGCCCGGCTGCAGCCCGGGCTCTGCCCCCGCCGCCCCTTCCCTGCCCCACGCCACGGCAGCGGCTGCACTTGGCCCCCGCCCGCAGGGGCTCCTCCGCCCCAGGAAGGTGCTGCAGGGCAGCGGGGAGCCAGCGTGGGCAGCCCTGCCTGCCAGCCTCCTGCCCCCTGCCCGCCAGCCCCTTGCACCCTGCCATCCCCTGCCTGGAGCCCCCTGCCCCCTGCCAGCCCCTGCCCCTCCGCCTCCACGCACCTGGCCCGGTACCCCCGCGGTGGCTCCGGCGGCTCCCGGCCCAGCCCGGCCCGGCCCGCGCAGGGTGCCCGAGTGCCCGCGGGTGCCCGCACGGAGGCTCGGTCCCGCGAGTGTCCCCCACCCCCGCCACAGCGCCACGCTCACCCACCGCCCCCGCGGGGCCGCTCCGTCGCGCAGCGCTCCGAGCCGCTCCGTGCCGAGCCGTGCCGGGCGCAGGCGGTGCCGGCGCGCACCGGCCCCCGGCGCTCCCGCCCCTTTATGGAGGGCGGCCCGGAGCTCGGTCCGGGGGGAGCGGAGCGGCGCGGCCCCCGCCCAGCCCGGCCTCCCAAAGGGCTTTTCCCACCCGCTGCCCTGAGAGGGAAGCACGGAAGGAAAGCGGCTCCTCGGGCTCTTCCCGCTGGAGCACCACCCGGGCTGCCCCGCGGCCGCACGGCGTGCAGCGGCTCCGGGATGGGCGTGAAGCCGGAGGGGGCTGGACACCCGGGAACGGCTGCTGCTGGATTTGCCACCGAGACCTCCGTGAGGGGCTGAGTGGGCTCCAGTAAGGCTCAAGGCAGTTTTCCCTCCAGCATCTTTCATGAAGGTGAGCAGCTCTGGCACCTGCCAGCCAGGAGCTGGCCACCCACTTCCACCCATTTCCTTCCTTCCATCCATCCATCCATCCATCCATCCATCCATCCATCCATCCATCCATCCATCCATCCATCCATCCATCCATCCAATGGGACTGTGTCCTGGAGACGTGGGGCCTGGATCCAGGCAGACATGGATGGAGCTGCCACAGGGACCTGAGCCCCTGGCACATCTGGGTCAAAGCCTGGCTCGGGGCACTGGCCCTGGGAGGGGCACTGGTGGTGAAGGGCTGCTCCCCATGCCAGCACAGCTCCCACGAGGCTGCAGGATCTCTTCAGGATCTCTCCTGCACACACAGTTGGGGTACCCAGCATATGGGGCCCTAGCACCCATGGCTCTAGTACAGGGACTGCGCTGGAGTCAGCTGGGGGGACATCATCCTGCCCTGCTCAGAACACCATCTCACAGCAGACTTGTGGCTGAGACCTACCCCAGAGCTGGAGAAAATTGCTGGAAAGCCACTGGTGATGTGGCTGCAGTTGCTGGGAGGAGGTGAAAGGGAGAAGATGCCCAGCAAGGCAGGCAGGGACCCCGTGTTGCCCTGGTGTCACTTCCTGCCCATCCTGTGGAACATTCCCTGAGGCTCCTCTTCAGCCCAGGGTGCACCCTTGGCCCTCAGGGTGCTCCTCACCCCCAGGGCACCTGTGGCACCACACTGCTCATTGGGGCACGTCACACAGCACCTCATCCTCCCCTCTGGTGCCTGTGCTCACCTGGGGTTGACCCTGGCTCACGGAACCTGCCATGCAGCCCATGCCACCTGTCCCCTGTCCCCAGCACCCCACGTACCTGTGCCCTCCTGGCCCCTGCCCCAGGGGCTCCCCTCCGGCTCCTGGCAGGGCAATGGACAGACAGGTCCAGGGGCATCTTCTTGTGGACAGCAAGAGGAGCAACAGTGGGGATCTCTGGGGCCCAGGGCCACCTCGCAGCTGGGGGCCGGGGGCAGGGCCACCGGCCACCGAGCAAAGATGCTCCAGGGTCGGCTGCAGGCAACTTTCCCAGGCACAAGCTGTTCCCAGGCAGGGGAGGAGCGGCGATGCCCTCGCTCTTCTTAAAGGTACAGCAAGCAGCGCATCCCCTCCTCTTCATTAGCCTTCCTCTCCTCAGACCTCAGCCCCGGCCCCAGGGCTGGCGGGCGGGTTCCGGAGCTCGCCGTGCCCGCAGGTTTGCCCCTGCCTGCCCCAGCCCCGCGGGTCCGGCCGCCAGTCCGGCATCCTCGGGGCAGGACCGTCCCTAAGCCCTCCTCCCGCCAGAGCCCGTTTAATGAAGACAGGGCGGCCTGTCCCAATTAGACAAGGGGCTTCGTTGAGCAGGGAGCGGAGGGGCCTGCCAAGGGCTCTGTGGCTGGCCCCGGGCCCGGAGCTGCGGAGCAGCCCCACGGCGCGGCGGGGCACGGGGCTGGGGGTCACCCACGGAACGGGGGCAGCGCCGGGGCGAGCATCGCCCGGCGGGCACGGCAGGCAGCGGGGCAGCGACATTTCACAGCCACGCCGGGGGCTCTGCCCGCCACCCGGACCCCAACACTGCGGCAGGCACTGGTCTGGGGTGGTCCCCAAGTCCCAGTCGCCCACGGAGAGCCCGGCAGCGTGTTGACCATCTTGCCTGACATGAGCACTGGAGTGGGGCACGCAGGGCTGCTGGGTCCCCAAAACCGGTGTCTCCGCCTCCGCGGTGTTTCCCAGCTTCCCTCCGCATACCAGGAGCGGGGAAGGAATCCGCGGCCCCCGGCGCTGCCTCTGCGGATGGAGAGCGCCAGGTGTGAGTGACTCACGGGCACCCCGCGCCAGTCCCTCCGGGGACATCCTGAAAGGCTGCAAACCCGTCTCAAAGCCTGGAAGGCTGGCAGCCCAGCCACCAGTCATTCCCACAGCCCAGACCTGGGGTTCCCCACCTCCCACCCGGCTCGGCCCCAGAACGTGCTGATCTCTACACTGACACTGAACAAAATTTGTAGGGCTGACCCTGAGCCCAGCTCCTCACCTGTGCATGCCAACCCGGTTCCCAAATGACACTCAACAGCTGGCCAGATCATGAGACCTTCCAGGACACCTCCAGGTGGTCTTTGCAGGGCACTGCCCAGGCTAGCATTCACCCTGAGCCCCACAGGGCTCATGCCACCCCCACGGAAGGGAACCCCTGCTTTGAGAGTGTGCACAAGGGAGGCACAGGAGCTGAGCTTCTCCCTGCCCCTGCTTGCCAGGCATGGGGCCTCGCTGCTGCCTTAGTGGAAAGAAGAAAATCTTCAGCCCCAGGTGAGGTTTCAGCTCTCTGGGACGGGATGAGTCACACACCACGGTGAGGTACAGACCTTGCTGCACTCGTGGTGCTGTGGGGATTGTTGCTCACCCTTTCCACCCTCTGCAGCCACTGCCTCTGGTGCTGATCTGACATGGGCTGGGATTCAGCACTACCCTTACAGGGCTTTAGTGTTCTGGCCCCACTGTGGTCCTGCAGTGCTCCTCACTCCAGCACATCAGCATTCCCAGCCAGTGGGGATGCACGGGACAGCTCTGGGGCTGCTGGGAGGGAGAGGCCACCTCTCCCAGCACCTTTACACTGGGGAGGGGAGCAGCAGGGGGCTAGTGCTGAGGCAGGGGAGGAGTGGAGGTTCTGGCCAAAGCCTGGAGGGGGAACCATGTCTGCCACAGAGGCCAGCTGAGACATGCTCCAGGAATGTCTTTCAGCACCAGCCACCACCAGCTCCATAATGTGGCACCCAGCCACCCAGCCCAGCATCCCAGGAAAGGGGCCCATAAGCCCTGGCTCTCACCAGTCAACCCGGGGAGAGCCCAGAGGGACAGGGTGACACTCACAGTGCAGCCTTGGGGAACACTTGTGACACCCCATGGGACAACCCAGCAGCCCAAGAGACCAGAAAACAGACCAGAGTGGGAAACGGTCAGCACTTACCACCTGCTGACCTCTCCCGGTGGGTCTGGGGTGGGAAAAAGCCATGCCAGCCCTCCAGGCTGCTCTTACTAGGGAAAAGACAGAAGCCTCCCAGCTCCTCCGTGCCAGAGGGGACAGCTTAGAGCACCCTCCACCCTGCTGCTGCCCAAGGCCACATCCCTGTGGCAAAAGGAATCAAAGTATGACACCAGAATGAAGTCATGACCAACGAGCTGCCCTCTCTGCCCAGCAGCTCTTGGGATGTCCAAAGTGAAGGGGTGCTCCCGGTTTTGGGGGACCTTATCTGCTGTGGGGGCAGCAGCAGTCTGGTGACAGAATGATGATGGGGGTAAATGGCCCCACTGTAGCCAAGCTTGGGGTCAGGCTGAGCCTGCTGAGCCCCCCATCAGGGCTCCCCAGGGGGTGGCTGCATGTCCCAGCTCTCCCACAACTGCTGTGGAGGGATGGAAAGCTTTTCCTCATGTAAACTGTTGTGTCTGGAGCTGCTGCCAGCACAGCTGCTCATCAGCATCGCACGAACCTGTGCTGGACTGTGGCCAGGTCCTGCTGGCCACGCCAAATGGGCTCAGGAGGGAAGGGTGACACCACGGGGATGTGACCCTCCCCTTGGCCAAGTAGCGCAGGAGAAGGCAGCCCTGGTCAGCGTGACCACAGAGGCCAGGCTGCTTCTCAGGGACAGCAAGTGAGGGGAGAGCCAGGCAGCACCAGGGCTCTGCCAAGGGCTGGCAGGGCTTTGCAATGGCATGGGGCCAGCATGGCAGAAAGGGAAGGTGACAATGGGGATGATGGAAGCAGGATAAGGAGCCAGCAGCAGTGAATGGGGCTCTGGAGTCCCTAGTTAAAAAGCTGCCCTCAGCTGCATCCTGTGCTGGGCTTTGGGTGATGCTGGGGATACCCAGAGGGGCTGGCCTGGGGGTCAGAGACCCAGGGGGAGGCAGGGGAAGGTGTAAGCAGAATGCAGGCAGGGGCTGAAGTGCCCCATGCTGCAGGTAGCCAGACACAGAGCCTGGCTCTCCTGCAGGAATCCAGCTCCTTGACTGACTGAGGCATGAGCTGCTCCCCTTCCCTTCTGGCCCTGCAGTCCCCACTTGCAGCTGGGTCCAGGCTCAGTAAAATCAACTCGCCTTGCCCTTGAGAATGGGCATGATTGCAGAAATGCAGGGACCAGGTGCAGCAAAGCTCCCCCAGCACCTCTGCATGGGGCCAGTGCTGCCTTTTCCTCAAGCTGACAGTCCCATGTGGTGCTTGTGCCCCAGAGATGCCCCAGCCAGCCCAGCACATGCAGCTGGGGAAAGGAAACTCCTGCTGCTTCTTTGTAGGGGTGGATAAAAATTCCCTGCCCTGGGGTAACGAGGATTTTGGTGCTCCCAGCCCAGTGCTGGCTGCAGGGTTTGCAGGCAGCAGCTGGCAGTGGCTGGCAGTGCCTGGGGCACAGCCAGGCTTGGGGTGCACGGAGAGAGACCCGGGGATCCATTGCAGTGCAAGAGCCGGGACTGGCAGAGCAGGGCGAGCGCTTTCCTCCGGGATGCCTGCAGGAAGGAGGAGATGAAGGGAAGCCGAGGGAGAGCTGCCAGCCCACGTCGCACACACTGGGGCATGTGCGGGCTGGGCCGGGGCGTGCAGAGCGTGGCTGGACACGCTGGGGCTGAGCCCGCCCGCGCCCGGCGGCGCTGCCCGGCCCTGCGGGCTCCCCGGGCAGCCCAGCGCCCCGGGCCGGCTGACAGAGGCAGGGGTGAAAGGTGGCATTCCTGCAGCCGGCCTGCGACAGCAGCTCGGGGCAAGGCCGGGGCGCTGGGGCTTCCCTGCAGTGCCGGGGAAAGGCAGGCAATCATCTTACCTGCAAACACCGAGGTGTCTCTCCAGCCCTCACCTGCATCACTCCAAGAGGGTCTGTGGCAGATGGGACAGCTCAGGCCCCGCTCCGAGCTGGGGGGCTGGCACAGCAGTGGCTGCTCCTGGCCTTGCAAAGTGCTCTGCCCCAAATTTGG